GGAATGACTCATTATCGCCTTTGCTGTTTCCTCTAAAGTATAATGTAAGGCTAGTTGCAGCAGACAGCATGATGTCACTATTGGAAACGTCACTGAGCACGTGATTTTGCGCCTGCGTGAAAAAAAAAGACATTTGAATGCAGAATAGCAAGTGCTGTTTACAAACGATGTTCGATTTTCAATTCGTAAAGTATGTACGTAAATTAACTCGCGAGTGAACATTAATGACAGACCGAATGTTATTACAAACTCCTGGCTAATAAGTTGTTCGAAAACATTTACTCACTAGAGAAGTATCAGGCGCAAAAATAAAGTAGGTAACAACATACTTGATTCATGATGTTAGAAAAACACGTAGGTTCAAGAAGTCTTGAAAGAAATGAATAAAAACCTTATAACCCGAGCGCTTTCGAAAGGTGAGCCTTTCTTCTTCAGGGGCAAAACCTTTCACTTGATGATATCTATTATTTGCATATTTTTTTCTTTTTATAATATCCTAAAATGGAGGAGTCCAGTTTTCAAATATAAAAATCTGAGCGTGTCCCGATTTTATGGTTTAAAAATCTTGTCACCCTAGGCAAGTCTAGTTTTATCAGTTACGCTTGTTTTAGTTTGTCTAACAATAATGGTGAAATAAAAAGTCCTCAGTGAGTCAGCGGTAAGATTGGGGACTTGCAACGCTAAAATCCGGGGTTCGATTTTCAGCATTAGAGGGCCTACAAAGAGCTCATTGTGTGCCAAAAAAGGAAAAAAAAAAGAAGTTAGAAAAGAAACAAATGACCCTTTCTCGATTCAAGTAATATAACTTAATTTTGTAAATAAATGTATGCATAACTTCAAATACAGGAAAATAGTAATAGAAGTACCTCATTAAAAGTTACAATTAAAGTACTAGGTATATCTAAAACTTATATGCCCTAGAAGAAACAACAACCAAAAATAAAATATCTGATCCATAAATATACTATTTGACCTTAAAAATTATTTTTATTCTGCTGTTGTATTAATACATAATATTCCTTGCATGAGCATCGTAAAGAAGTTCTGTGTAGTGGCTGATCATCAAGAAGACGGTATAAGTAGCGGCTGGTCATCATGAAGAAGGTCTGAGTTGTATCAGTCATCATGGAGAAAGTCTGAGTAGCAGTTAATCATCATGAAAAAGGTCTGAGTAGTGGTTAATCATCATGAAGAAGGTATAAGTAGCGGCTGATCATCATGAAGAAGATCTGAGTAGCGGGTGATCATCATAAAGAATGCGTGAATAGCTATTGGTCATGGTAAGGAAGTTCTGAGTAAAAGTGGTCGATCATTATGAAAGAGATCTGAATAATGGTCGACACAAAAGCTATACGACGAAATGACTGCACGTAATATAAATATAGAGAGCATATTTAAAAAAGAAATAGGATTTTCTTTATCCTACATTGAATGTGAGGCCATTGCAGTTAAGGAACAACCGTATTAAAAAGGTCAATATTTGTCCTCTGCTAGAAGATGTTTGCCTACAACATTGCTAAGCAACAAACAGACCAACAAGTTTGAAATTACAGTGTTCCCAATCATACATTGTCTTAATTTAGTAAGCTGTGACCTCCTTTTATTTATTTTGTCTCAACCACAGTCGGCAGCACTTTCATACAACGATGTTCTGAAAGCTTCTCATGTAGTTGTATCCGTAACATCACACCAATGTTTTGCTTAATCTTTGCAGCACTTTCATACAACGATGTTCTGAAAGCTTCTCATGTAGTTGTATCCGTAACATCACACCAATGTTTTGCTTAATCTTTGCAGCACTTTCATACAACGATGTTCTGAAAGCTTCTCATGTAGTTGTATCCGTAACATCACACCAATGTTTTGCTTAATCTTGTGTAATAGGAAAGGATATGTTTGAAAGTGATAACTTGTTGTACACATCCTCAACACTATTGTTATTTGTTTAATAATTGGTTACTGTAACCATATATATGTACAGTAGTGGAAACACAAAGGAGTCACAAACAGTGAGTAACTGCAACTAAATGGTTAATTTATCGTTTGAACATTACATTGTTACAGAAAACACAAAGCAAATAAGTTGTACAATGCACTAATGTTCTGAATTTGCTTTAAAATTAGCAATACATATTGTTTAATGTTACCATATGTTTATTAACGTATGATTAGGAAAGAGTGTTCCAAATGTCCACAAATCAGCGAAATTGTTTCGTTACCATTTGCTATCTCAGCTTCCATATAAGCCCATACATCCTCAATAATAATCTTATCAGGACTTCATGCAGTTCAAGCCATATTTGCGAGTATTCCACCTGTCTCTTGTACTTTCAGTTATCACATCACCACATTTGCTGTGTAACGGGTTTTGTTCCAGAGGATTAACATGATGAATAAAAATTAACTGTAACTATCAACAATCAGGGTGCCATTAATTTTGTGTAGCTTTCCAGTATTTTTAGCCTAGATGCAATCTACACTTATGTTTGACCCCCAGCTTGCTTCATTGTAGATGTATATTGATCGTGATACTATTATTCTCTCTGTTTTTTCCGAAACATTTTGAACTCATATCTAAAGACCACCACCTCCAGTTTTGTTCGGCTCATTGTTTAAAGTCGTAAGCCCATTTCAGACTTCTAGCTTGTTCATCTCTCCTAAGCAATGGTTTTTGAATAGCTACACATCTATTAAGGTTACTTTTTTGCTACCATGTATCTTATTGTTTTGGAGGTAATATTCGCACCTATAGTTCCAGCTAGGTCATTGGTTGTCGTGTATCATGTGAAAAGCATACACTAACTTGTATCACATCACTTGTAAAGAGTTCGTACTTTCTACGATTTCTATTGTCAACAGTACTTTTCAAAATGTCCATACAGTTCTTATTGGAACATGAAATGTCGCCTTCACCAGCCAAAGCATTGATTTGTACATGATTGTCACATAACATGTCTGTCTTAGGAACCGTAAGTGCATTCAGCACACTAATCCTGGGAATAGTACGACTGCCTGTAAATTATGCTGGTGTAGCACTGTCTGATTGGTTGGATGATAACCAATCACAGTTTACACTACCAATATGTGAATATACTCTGCTGTAATTCATTTTCATACTATAGAAAGGGAGTAGTCCCATAATATTTGTATTTTATTCACTGTTTCTATTATTATATATGAATGTGAAAGAAAGAATTACAAAAACTGAAGCATATTTGAAAGTCAAGGGTAGGGGGATACGCCCCAACCCCTCTTTCCACAAAAATAAAGTTTATAATATTAGCGGTTAGTTTTGTGGAATTATAGGGTGTTTAAATTTAATCTAAGTAGACAGGTTAAAGTTTCTAGTGCAACACACTACTGTTCATAGTATACACTATCAGGTCAATAAAACCAAACACAGGGTGAACAATTTGTTGCAACTAAAACTAGACTAGTGATAACTATGTATGCGTTAATCAGGTCAAACACAGGAGCGGGAAACGTTATCTTAGATTTTAATCTTTACAAACAACTAGATATTAGAGCAACTGCTACTTATAAGATACGTAAAACCATTTAATTGTTAGTTCTAAAGTTGATAGATATAAAAACAATAACGTTAAAGTTCACAGGTCGAGATACTGGATGCCACTTCAAAAATCGAGTAACGGGGAGTCATTTCAAAAGTTCGTGTAACAGGGAGTCATGTTAATAGGTCGAATAACGAGGACTCGTTTCAATAGGTCGAGTAACGGGGAGTCACCTCAAAAAGTCGAGTCACGGGGAGTCATCTCAAAAGTTCGACTAACATGGAGTTATGTTAATAGATTGAATAACGAGGAGTCACCTCAATAAGTGGAGCAACAGGGAGTCACTTAAATAATTGAGTAACGAGGAGTCACCTCAATAGGTCGAGCAGCGGGGAGTCATTTCAATAACTGAGTAACAGGGAGTCACCTCAATAGGTCGAGTAACGGGGAATCACCTCAAAAGTTCGACTAACATGGAGCTATGTTAATAGATTGAATAACGAGGAGTCACCTCAATAGGTCGAGTAACGGGGAATCACTTCAATAATTGAGTAATAACGGGGTGTCACCTCAATAGGTCAAGTAACTGAATGCCAACTCAAAAGGACGAGAACTAGGTGTCAATTAACTTGTTATAAGTACCAATAAATGTGAAACGATCTTCTGTTTTAAGTTCTTGAATATCTTTAGTATATTGGGAGTATTTTTGGTTCCTTTAGAAACAACTGGATATTTTAGCAAGAAATTAATGTATAGCTGAAAACTTGACAACAGTATATATTTCATACGAAAATTCGAGTAATAAAATATTAACGGCTCATGAAAGATTGCCAAAATTACATTTGAACTGAAAAAAAAATAATTTTGAGTTTTTGACCAACCAAAATAATTTGCTGTTGAATGTACACGAAACAAAAGTGTTGACGTGTTACAAGGGAATGTCCAAGCCACCGGAAAGGTACCTGTTACCTGTACAGTATGATTAACATGTAGTTTACTAGACTACTTTAGAGTGAGTCACCACAAATTGACCAACCTCATTAGTTCTATACGCATGCGTAGAGCGAGCGACTACAGCTCACAAAACTATCTACATTTACCTTAAAGGAAATCTTTTATCTGTTAAAACTCTTTATGGTGCAATGAACAGCTGAATATAACTTGCCTGGGTTATTTTTTACGTCATCAAAACACTTGTATTATTCGTCTACAGATAAATGAACCACAGAGCAAAGAAAAAGTACACATTTCAAAACAACTGTACATTTATTGTGAGATAAATTTCCTAAAGTCAACAACAAATTGGCTACTTGAACCATTCTATTCATACTTCACACGCATGCGTGATAAGTTACTTATAAACGCATGTACCTGTAAACCTATTAATAAAGAAACCGTTATTGTAAACTTCACATTAGAAATAAACACTGTAATTATTTTTACTGAGATATTGCGAGAATTAGGGTGGAAAAAAATTAAGATTAGTACCTTTCTCACTAGATTTGGTAGTTAATATGTCTAATCCTTGGCATTCAATGGTCATTGTTATGTGTTCATTCCTTCATATTCAACGGTCATTAGTTAAAGTGTTGGCGGCGGGTGGTGTTGACTATTAGTACCTTTCTCACTAGAATTGGTAGTTAATATGTCTAATCCTTGGCATTCAATGGTCATTGTTATTTGTCCATTCCTTCATATTCAACGGTCATTAGTTAAAGTGTTGGCGGCGGGTGGTGTTGACTATTTGTCGTCCCTCTATCGCTTCAAAATTAGGGATGACTAGGACAGATAGTACTGGTTTGCGCAAAATTCAATATAGCAAGTTTACTATGTCCATTCCTGCATAATAATCAGACGTTTTATTGTGTCCATTCTTCCATATTCAATACTCATCTTAATGCACATTCCTGCATCTTCAGTAGCTATTTTGTTATGTCCATTCCTGGATATTCAGTAGCCATTTTGTAGTGTCCATTCCTCCATATTTAACAATTATTTTATTGTGAATATTCCTACATATTCAGTAGCCATTTTGTTGTGTTTATTCTCCATCTTCAATATTCATTTTAATGTACCATTCTTGTATGTTCAATAGTAATTTTGTTGTGTTCATTCCTCCATATTCAATATTCATTTTAATGTACCATTTCTGCATATTCAATGGTCATTTCATTTGGTCCATTCCTCCATATTCAACGGTTATTTTATTGTATCATTACTGCATAATCAGTAGTCATTTTTGTGTGTGTGTCCATTCCTCCATATTCAACAGTTATTTTATTGTGAAAATTTCTCTGTGGCTCAACTTTGATTTTAAGGTGTGTATATTCATCCACATCTAACAGTCATTGACAATCCAACCAAAGTTTCTTGCTATCAGATATTAAGCTTATTTTGTCGCTTCTGTCTAGTCCGCAGACATACCGCTGTGTCACTAACGTTTTGGGTGTAATTGAACATTTAAAGTCGAACTTCCTTTGGCAATAATATATAAAAGTTATACAACAAAAATGAGAAACAATGGATGACAGTATATATGATCACATATCGGTAAAGTTAAAAAAAATTACTCCTGCAATAATATGGAAAAACGTAAGCCAGTCAACACTGTTACTACATGAAATCATTGATTTCATAAACACCACAATTTAACTGTCATCCAATTAATATGCTGTGCTGAGTCATGTCAGACTTGATATTTTCAACCAGAGCAGTAGTACTTTATATGACACATAACGGTACGTTATGCAACGTATGGGATAAATGGTCAAGTAAGGTTCAGTCATAACCATCCATACCTTATAATTGCAGATCACAGGAGACAATCAGTCAGCAGCACAAAGTTACTTTTAATTGAACTTCGGCCTGACCGTCACGGTTATAATGAGACCACAGCTCAAAGTACGGACTGTTTACAATGTCATATCGTGCTTCAAACCTTGTACCTAGCGACATGCAGTCCGTTACGCAAAAGCGGGGGTAAAGGGGAGGAGGGGTTGTTACAAGGACTGAAGCTACACCGAATTGTGCCTTAGCCTTCCCTGTAGCTCCCACACCCAAAGAAAAGTTAACCCTTTTTGGTTTTTCTAAACGTTTAGTATTAAAGCTGGTTCACTTCGTTAATACTACAGATGTGTGCCCACATGATGTAGAGTTCAGCTTCCTCAATTTTTTTGTACCCCGGTGGGACTTACAACGCTACAAATTCAGGTTCGATCCCCTGGTTGACACACCAGGTGGCCAATGTGTCTTTGCTCTAAAATAAACAAGCATTTTTTTTTCTACTTCACCTCAGTTCCCTCACCGGGAAAGAGGCTGATGTCACCCCTGCGGACATACTAGCCACTTGACCATGCTCAGCTAAATCATTTTAAGCACATAACTGTATTTAAACGTCGATCACGTTGGAAGAGCATTCATATATATCATCTTACGTACAAAAGTATAATTTGGGGAAACGAATGTTTGTCAGTCGGGGTTGCACTTAGCTGAGCGAATTTCTTCTCACGGTCAGCTCTACGTAGCTCTTTATCCAGGTATGGTCATTCGATTGGTTAGAAATTTATATCCCTAGAAGTGCAAATACTGAAAATGTTCTTTACAAGAACGTTTCCTAAACAACTTTTCCAATGTCAATTCGATAGTTCTTAATTGTAGAGTGTGACTTGAAATACCACAACTCTACATATTTTGTCGAATTTTGAAACTTTCTACTTGCAGAATATCATTCGGGAAAACGGATGTCCGTCCGTCCATTGCGTACGAAACTAAAGAGGAAGAAGAGAAAACGATATACGCAAGAAACAATTATATTTATAGAAGTGAGGCCTACTAAGAGCGACTCAAAATGTATTCATGTTAATTTATGTATGCATGCGTTGTTAACATTTTAACAAAAAACGTTTTTCTACTGCAAAATGTTTAAATCATAATTTTCATGTAATGCTGTAACATCAAAATGATTTTAAAATCAAGTTTTCAGAGTAATATTTATGTTTCTTTACTTTAATTAAAAATACGCTACATTTTTATATTTCAAATAAAATGTACGCGCAACGAGCATGTTTGAACATGTTTCGAATAGGTTTGCTGTGCAATTTTTAAACATTTTGTTTACAAATTCAATGTTTTGTTAAGTTATAAAACTTCTATTAACAAGTACAAAAACATAAATGACTGTTTATAACCTTTGAAGATGGAGAGAGTATTCACAGTACTATATTGCCGAAGATGTTTTTTACTAATAAAGAACGTTTGAAAGAGCATATTTTAGTGGTAAAATATTCGATTTTGTATAGATAGATAAAAATGCGAATTGTGGTATTTCACTCAATTACCAAAAGCTTTGTAATAAACTAAATTACGCATACTACAAAGCAAAAGAAACAAAGACATTGATTCAACAAATATATCATAGTGATTTTGCAGAGTAGCAGCTGCTCCTCAGATTTTATGGATTATAAACAATATAAGATATATTTGTAATTAGAAGTTAGTCAATAAAATTTCAAGAGTAAGAAAATTGTTATTTACAATATCTCAGATTATTAACTTACCAGATTAATGTTAGAGTTATAAATATTATAACACCCTCATATGTTGCTTACTTATATCTGATTAGACAAAATGGACAACACCTAAGAGTTCAAGCTTTTTATAATCTTCCTACGACAACTAGGATTTTGACAGTAAGAAATGTACAGACTAAATTAAGGTACTCATTACTGTTTAAGTTTCAACAATGAAATGCTTAGAAAAATAATGTAGACTATTTTGTAGGCTTCCTTTACCTGAGGCTTGTGTAAATCCTTTCGTAATCTGAAATAATCGGTTTGATCTATACATATGGCAGTTTGTGGTAAGGATTATTCCAAATGTAAATATATTCAACTGAACTCTCTTCTGATATGAAAATTTATATTATATCCATCATGAATAACCTTAGTTTCAAAGAAATAGTTGGAACTACGTAGGTTACACTTTCTATCCTTATGTTTACTATTATCAGTTTTTGTGTGTTTTTTCACAGGCGTGTCCGCGAAATATAAAATACTATTTAAGTTTTTAGTAATGTAAATTTACAGAATATTTCTTTGGGTTTCTCATACACAGAGGTGTGAATTGAACTATTGTTGTTATTCAATATCAAATTGGGTGTTTAATAAAAAAAACTTATAATCCTGTAGAAATATGAAAAAATATAAACAAATTTACTTATCATTCTTCGTGGCTATAGGCCAGTGTTTAAACAATTAGGCTTACGTTAATATGAACTCGATTCGTTATGATAGTAGACCAGAGCTACAACGATTACACTTACGTAATATGAACTCGGTTTGTTATGACTGTAGGCCAGTGCTTAAACTATTAAGCTTACGATAATATGAACTTGGTTCGTTATGACAGTAGACCAGAGCTACAATTAGGCTTACAGTGAATTGAACTGGATTCTCGTGAGTATAGATGAATGCTAAAACGATTAGGTTTACGACGATATTCGCGACAGTAGACCATTGTTAAATCGATTAGGCTTACACTTTCAGAGAATAGAACTCGGTTCATAACTCCGTTGTGCGCAAGCCGAATGCCACCTCTGTGGGCATAATTTATAAAAAAATCCATATAAGTTAAGTTATATACGTTTTTTTCTAAATAAATTGGTAAACAGGAAAATATTAATGCAAAATAAAACATGTTGTAAAAAAGATAGTAAATAACACTAATTAGGAGTAGACCTTATTTGTCACTCAATTTTAGCTACAAGTGAACACAATCATACAAAAGAAGACAAAGAAAATAACATGAAACATAACGTAGAAATGAAATAGCTGAATACTGATTCATCAATTATTTTATCTTTCGATATCAGCCTTGTGCCAAATTCAAAATAATTATTACATATTTCAGTGATTGCATACGACACATTTTCCTTGTAGCTAACAAAAAATGACAAATAAACATTTCGCGTACACAAATAAATAGTGTTGAACTGTTAGAATATAAAGAGATTCTAAATTACGTACGTACTGCGTAGAACACGTTAACAAAAATATTGTTAGAAGGAACACTGTTGAAGTGGCTTAAAGTGCCTGACGATGGGCTTTTGCCCGAAACTTTGCAAATAAATATAAAGTTTTTGTCATAGACGTGTGTTTTACCAATATTTGACACTTTTTTAATTATTTTTCCACGTCTTGCGGTCTTTCGTACTGTTTCCGCAGAAACAATAAATCTAGTTTACTCAATTTAACATTGTTTTCTTTTAATGTGCTTATATGTCGCTTAGCAACAAACACTTTCTTACATTCAAACTGGTATAGGCGAAAAGAAGTAGTAGATTTAATTTATATTTCAATAGGATGCGCATAAATACTTTAAATGGACAGTTTTTGGCATGTCTTCGAGAGAAACTTTCGTAGCCTTCTTCTATCACTGATTTCTTTTTAACTAGTACAGCTTTCTTAGTAACGAACAGCTTGTTACATGCAAAGTGAACATGAGCGACTTAGAGTCATTGGTGCTACCATAGCGTGCGGTCTACACATATACCGGTTTAACTTTCGTTTATTTGCAATTGGCAACATTTATTATAAATAACGCTCTTAAACTAATAAAGTACAAAATACCATTATATAATGTTTTTGTGGCAAATATAATCGGAATAAAATAAATTCCAACAATCAAACTAGCACAATTATAACCTAAATGTAAGGTACTCTTTTGGAACACACAACATATTAAATTATTATTATTTGCTGAACAAAAACGTGGATAGATATAAATTATTTAGCAAGAAATTATGTTTTAGTGAATCATTAAAGTGGTGATGATAATGATAGTATCTCTGTAGACCGCGCAAAATAGTAGCACCGAGCCATTTCATGTATATGTCCGAAATAGTTTTTGACGTATCTTTGTGATCGTCTTTGTAGTCATCTCATGCACATATAAAATAGAGCTAATATTTCCTATCAGTCGTCAGCAGTTTTTAACTGATAACCAGCACAAGGCCACTCTCTGTGGTCAACAATAGTCTGATAATGAAGACTTTTAGGCCCTCATTTTTAATATTGCTTCATTCGCAAGAAGGAAAAAAATACTACAAATCACTATTAGTTCACTAGCCTATAGCCTAATAAAATATTTCATACTGTGTTCTTAATACTCTCTAAAGTTAACTTGAGCGACCTCTATCTACAGAATATATAAATTTTGTGTTTATTGTTTAGTCTTACTTTTCTTCACGAGTTTCTAGTCCTATAGTGTATGTATTTTAAAGACTTAATTTTGTGTTACATGCCAACAAAATGCTCAGTACTGATTATGGAAATTCATACTAGCATTCTTAACATTCTACTAAAATATGACTATGATGTAATTATTTATTCTGTATTTCTTCCATAGCTCTGTAGAATCTGCCCTTGAAATACTGTCATTTATCTCCATTAAACCATTCATTCTCTAAATGATGCGCAAGGAGAGAAAATGGGGTAATTTCGAAGTATCATTTTTT